GGTGATTTGTATAGAATCTATGAAATTTATTAATAGATTCTATATGGGAAATGATTTTATTCGTTTGATAATATTTATTGTATGCAATCAGTTCATCTGTAAAGACAATAAGAAAGTCTTCACTATCTAACATTTTTTAAATATAAGGAATTTCGGGGTGCAACCCGCTTTAACCTTATCATCAAAGATGATTTCGTTTCGGAATACCCGAATAGTACAAAAGGTTAAACAAGTTTCCATCAAAACGCTCACAAAATAACAAGAACACACAATATTCAGCACAAGGTTAACGCTCGTGATCCGAGTACAAAACGGATTGACGCTTCATCGATAACAACAAAAAGGTGAGTAAATCCTTTTTATGATGTTAGATCAGCGATCTAAGCAGGATTTCAAATCTTAAGGATAGTGTAAAGGAAATTGGATTTATTGATAGTTTATTAGTACAGAACAAAAAAAAACAAACAACGATTACGAAAAAAGCAGCATGCGCATGAATCCAAACATCAAATTCCCAAAGAACAAAGGCAAAACCCCAAACTAAAAAGGGCTAGGAGCTACACAAAAAGTTCTAACCATTTCGGGAAGAGAATGAGACGAAAATGCGACGCAAATTAAATGCAAATAGGAACGCAAATAGGAAGGAAACGGACGCGATCGGATGTGAAAATGTTAGCTTAGATTTGTCAGCTCCGAGCCAAACTGATATTTTAGTTACTATTGTTATTATTGAATGATTTGTCTAATCTTATGTAAATGTGTTCTCCCCTATGCTTATCCCTTTCATCGCCGAGAAGGGGCGGTCCTTGGGATTACCTAGGAGGACAAGTGAGACTCTCATTTGGAGTCCCCCCTTCCCCTTACACTCATTTGTAATCTATTCATCTTATTGTATTACTGTAAATAAAGATACGTCGTTTCTTCCGGGTCTATGCAACTGCAGTACAGATCGGTCATTTCACAGGGACTCCCCTCTAATACGTTGGAGGAGCTGAGTTTGGTTGTCGGGGTGTTAGAGATGACGGGATATCAAAAGGGATCCGCTCTCTTTAAATTAACCCAAATTCTAGTCCACATTCGTTTATACCTAGGAACGTATAGATTTAAATTTTGGTTCTTTGAAGAAAACTTAACGAGAGTTTGTTGCTCTCGTTAAGCTTTCTTGCTATTTTGTTTCTCAATTTATTCGTCCTCCACAAGCGTTTCTAGACAAGCAACAGTGTAAAAGGCAATAATTTTAAGAAAAGTAATTCAAAGTTGTTAACGTTGATTGATTAGTGTTTCCTTTTTAAACATTAGACTTGTACAAAATGAGCTCTAAATCTAGACCTAAATCTAAGTTAATGATTCCAATAAAGATTAAACACTTTGTTTAATATCAAACACTACAAAACTAGCTCAGAAAACTATTTTTTTGCTTTTAAGGCTTAGAAAACTCTTTCGTAAGGCAAATCAAAAAGAAATTAGCAAATTATATTTGGTGGGGGCGAGTTTTTGAATGAAAAATGTTATTGGAAAGAGTTCTATGGCATTTTAGATATGTTATGAATAGCTTTAGATAAGTTATTATCATTATTATTATATTTCCGATAATCAACCAGCGCCCGGTGGTGGCGGAGGAGCGCCGGGGCCCATCGGTTGAGAGGGGATCACTGAAGCGCCGGAGACAAATGTGCTTGTCTGAATTGAGGGGAATTATTGGAAAGACTATTTAAAAGTATATTTGATGATTATTCATAAGATAAAAGAATATAAAAAAGTAGTGCGATTAAATGAAATTATGGTGTTATCCAGTTATACATCCCCATGCGTTTTGTGCATCCAAGTCAGAGTCCTTTAAAATCATGTGTTTAGGTTAAGTCATGTCATGCATGTGTTTAGGTTAAGTTTAAGATATGTTTAGACTATAGTTTTTTGCGTAGATTAGATAAATATCTGGATCAAGTATTAGGTTGTCCGGAAATAAATGAGCGTTTTTAAGTTGAATATTTAAAGTACCATAACTTGATCTAAACAAAACTTTATTAATCCAAATAAGAACCATTACAATTAACACATTCTTGCCAACAAGAAACAAGTTTATTTATGCCGGTAGCATAGATGTCCGGGCTTCTGGTGGCGATAAAGTCGGCGAAGGCGTTTTTGGCATCGTCTTGAGTTTTGAAGCATTTCTCCCGGAGAAAGTTGTCGAGGTGCTTGAAAAAGTGGTAGTCTATAGACGAAAGGTCAGGCGAATATGGCGGGTGAGGAAAAGTTTCGTAGCTCAGTTCGTTCAGCGTTTGCAGGGTCGGTAGTGCGACGTGCGGGCGAGCGTTGTCGTGGAGAAGAATTGGACCTTTTCTGTTGACCAATGCCGGGCACATTCGCAGCAATTTCTGGTGCATTTCGTCGATTTGTTGGCAGTACTTCTTCACCGTAATCGTTTCGCCCGGATTCAGAAAGCTGTGATGGATGAGACCGACTGCGGACCACCAAACAGTCACCATAACCTTCTTTTGATGCAAATTTGGCTTTGGAAAGTGTTGTGGAGCCTCTCCGGCGTCCAACCACTGAGCGGAACGTCACCGGTTGTCGTAGAGGATCCACTTTCATCGCACGTTACGATCCGGTCGAGAAATGAGTCGTTTTTGTTACGCTGAAGAAGAGCAGACGACACCTAAAAACGACGATTTTTTTGATCTTCGTTCAATTCGTGCGGCACCCATTTATCGAGCTTTTTTGACTTTCCAATCCGTTTCAAGTGGTCAGAAATGGTCGTCTTGCCCACGCCAAGCTCCTCCGCAAACTTTCGAATAGTCGTACGTGGATTTGCTTCCACCAGGGTCTTCATTTCGTCGTCATCGAGTTCAACAGGACGGCCAAGGCCTTCCTTATCTTCGAGATCCAAATCATCACCTCGGAATTTTCGGAACCAAGTTCGCACTGTTGACTCGCCGACACTGCCTTGGCCCCAAACTTCGCTAATGTTACGAGCCGCTTCAGCTGCATTGCGACCGAGTTTGAACTCATAAAAGAAAATCTGGCGAAAGTAGTTTCGGACATCTAAAACGGCGAAGCTTAAAATTCGCAAAAAAATTTTATTTTCAACAAAATTTAAAAGCATGGTTAAGAGAGTGCGAACTCAGCTTTCTAATCGTATATAACATTACAAGGTACAGAGGATACTTTATTGAGAAAAATGTACCCAAATAATAAACAATACAAAACGCTCATTTATTTCCGGACAACCTAATAGATGGAATAATATTATAAATCTAAAATGGTTAGGTCAATTGGCAGCGTGGGGATGTACAGGGTGCGGATGTACAATTACTCAGTTCAAATTCACATTTTGAACTTTGATCCCTAATCGAAATTCCGAAATTCATTATTTTCTAGAAATCATAAGTGAAAAGGAGTAAATGAAGCTGATTTCCTTTGATTTTGAGGCATTGAAACTAGTTACAAAAACCAGAAAATCGCGATTCCGCCCCAGAAACGCGTGTCCCAACTTTGCTGCGGAGAATTTGTCAAAGAAGTGAAATTTGAAATAAAGATAGATCTGCTTTTGCACGCAAAAAACATTGTTTTTTAGGCAGCTTGCCAAGCTGAATATCACTACTAGCTAATTTTTGTAAAACTCTATCTTTATTTCAAATTTCTTTTACTGATAAGTTCTTTTTGTCCGCAAAAATTCCTTGAGCAATTCATTTCCCCCATCTTAACACCCATCCATTTCAAAGCCAATTCTCATTTTTCTTGCACTTCTCAAATTGATTCAATTCCCGGTCATTCCCCCATTACTAGTATTCAACTTTCAACTGGATTTAGATCTATTTCAAGCATTCACTTGTTTACTTTGCAGATCTCATTGTGAGTTTCAATATAAGTACCAAAATCTCGATCACATTTAAATTTCCGGTTCCATTCAGGAATAGAGCTATAGAATTCGAGAATAGTGATCAGTGTTGAAAACTGATCATCGGCCATTTCCAACTTTGATCAGTTTGGTTTTTTTTGCTGTTCTTTTCACCTGTTTCTACCAAAAACTATGATTCCTGCGTCCGCGTTTGTTTGCAATGAATGTTTTTGCCGAGAAGAAACAATGAGAATGAAAATAAATCAGTAAATAGTAAACAGAGCAGACAAGAGCAGCCAAAAATTCTGAGGCCAATCGGTTTTAATGGAACGGATGAATGGAGTTCGATTGAGAATAATCTCGATTTAAGCCTTTAATTCGATGTAACTTTTAGAATAAATATGTGAGAAAAAGAAAATTATCTTTTTGGCAATTTAAATAATAAAGCACAAACTTTTTCCTAAATTTTTGAATTTTCTTTTGCAATCCTTTTCCACGACGTCTTAACACCCAATTTGACTTCATTTTCTCTCATTTTCCTATTTCAAATTGATTTCTTGTCTATATTTGCCGATTTTTAGAAAGATGAGCTCAGAACCGAAGATTTTCCACTCATTGAACTGTTCTCTCTGCAAAGCTCCGTGTGAGTTTTATCAATTACAAGAAGAAAAAAGGGATTTTTGAATGTTCCAAAACTTTCTTGTTGAATTTTGCTGAAAATGATTTGTTGCAGTGTCTGAGATCAGTCATATTAATTATCACTTTCTCTTGTATTTGAATCAATTCATTGTTTTCAGATCCGAGGTCGAGTAATGATCCCAAATATCCACATGAATTATTGTGTGGAAAAGCGATTTGTAAGGAATGTTGGGAAAAGGACATTTCATTGAAACAAAAAGAAAGAAAACATCAATGTGACTTTCAATGTGATTATGCTTACAGATCCCCCATCTTCTTACGCGGTAATAATTACAAAATTTCCCGTTGACGAATTCTCATTCGAATCATTTCAGAGCTTTTAAACGATCCATCAATTATCGAATCTCCGAATGGAAATGGATGGCTTCTTTCGGAGGTTAAAAAGCAAGTCTTTATTGACCAAATTCAGTAAAATCTTCAGCCGATCACGAATCCACTCAAATGTTCGACATGTGATGTGAAATGTGAGAAAATGGAGATTAATCCAAAAACTGTATTAAGACTCGATGGAGAAAGATGAAAGTAAACCCGTTGTTCTGTATTGTGGACACGCAATTTGCACAAAATGTTATTTAACCCATCGGACAGTTCATTTTTGGCCTGGTTCTGGATGGTTTTGGATGAAATGTTCAATTTGTAACGATTCTGTTCCTGGTCGAAAATCAATCGAAACGAGAGATAATTGGCTACGAGGTAAAGGAGAAAATTCGTACATAATTCAGTGTGGAAAGTTAAATACGAAAATTACTCACGACCAATTTCTCATGCAAAACTCATATAGAAAGTTTTCTTTTAGAATTTCTTCGTGAACTCCCCGAATTGATCGAGCAAATCCCGAAAGTAAAGGAAATACGAATCAAGGTAAAATCAAGAAATGTTAACCATTTCATTTAATGACTCAATTTTAGTCAACTCTTGATTCATATCGGGAGAAATTCGCAAAAATGAACCAAGAATTGGAGGAGAAATTTCGAGCATTTGAAGAGTCATTGAACAAAGCGAATGGAACAATCTGATTGCTTTAAACTGACGAAATGTTTTTGTTTTCATTCTTGTTTTTATATTTATCATTTTTGGTTTCAGTAAAATAAATACTTGGTACGATTTTTTTACAAAAATAGCCAACAAATCCTTCTGATTTTTAATCACTTTTCAAGACTTAATACAATACAGAATAATTCTTAGTAAAAGAAAACCAGATTGGCTTCAAATTCGAGTTTTCTTGAGTTCTCTTTGGCCGCAAAAATTCCTTGAGCAATTCATTACCCCATCTTAACACCAATCCATTTCAATTTTCGTTCTTCTAGCATTTCTTGAATCGATAAAGGCTTAACGAGAGTGACAAATTCTCGTTAAGTTTTCTTGAAAGAGCCAAAATTTCAATTTAAGCTAACACTTTCACATCCGATCGCGTCCGTTTCCTTCCTATTTGCATTTAATTTGCGTCACATTTTCGTCTCATTCTCTTCCCGAAATGGTTAGAATGTTTTGTGTAGTTTCTAGCCCTTTTTTAGTTTAGGCTTTTGCCTTCGTTCTTTCGGGATTTGATGTTTGGATTCATGCGCATGCTGTTTTTTTCGTAATCGTTGTTTGTTTTTTTGTTCTGTACCAATAAACAATAAATAAATCCAGTTTCCTTTACACTATCCTTAAGATTTGAAATCCTGTTTAGATAGCTGCTCTAACATCATAAAATAATTTATTAGGTTGTCCCATAAAAACCCAGAGATTTTGAATTTCATTTATTTTCAGCACATAGAAACAACGAAGAATCAGAATCAAATTATATATTTTTCAGATGAATTTATAACTTTTCTCCAACGTTTGGATAGCTTGCCAATCCCTCGTTCGTAAAACCCAAGCGGGCGCGAGCGAAAATAGTCGTTCAATTCGTCCTCGAGTTCGCTCTCATCTTTGAACTTTTTACCACGTAAGAAATCCTTTAGCGACAAGAACAAGTGATAGTCAGAAGGGGCAATGTCCGGAGAATACGGTGCATGAGGAAGGATATTCCAGTGTAGGTTGTCCTTCACAAAATCGATCGATCTTTCTGATTTGTGGGAGCTCGCGCCATCCTGAAGAACGAAAACGGGGCCGTTCCATTTGTTTTCATAGAGTAACCTTCCGACTTTTTGTTCCACTTTTTTCATATGATATAGATAAACATCGGTATTGAAATTTTGCCTCGGTTTAAGAAGTTCCCAGAGAAGGACGCCTGTTGAACACCAGTCGACACACAAGATTCGCTTCTTTTTTGTGGATCTTCCGTTTTGGCAGCATTTTACATACTTGCCCTTTCTTCAATCACTGCCGTTGTTCAATCACTGCCGTCAATCACTGCCGTCACTGCACTCGACCATCGTAGAAAACCCACGTTTGATCGTGGGTGATGATGTTCGAAAGACGAAGCCGACCATGCCGGCATTCGCTCCACAAATGGTTGCATGTCCGCTTTCTTTTGACTTGGGTTGTTTCCGATCTTTTGTATGGAATTTAGCGTTGTTTTCTACGATTTCTTTCTCTAACGCATCGGACAGCTGATGTTTCTCCTAGATGGTTTGGGATGAAACGTTCAATTTGTGACGATTATCATTTTGATCCAGTTGCTTTAATCGAAATGAGAGATAATTGGCTACGAGGTAGAGGAGAAAATTCGTACATAATTCAGTGTCAAAAATTTAAATACGAAAATTACTCACGATCAATTTCTCTCAATCAACTTAAATTAGACTGCAACAGGGGAAAATTAACAAATACAAGTTTAAAAATCAATATAATCATTATTTATTTTTACAAGTCAGAGTGTGGTGACATCGGGAGTTGCAAAAAATACCATTTTTCTTGCAGGCACATCGATTTGTTGAGCATCCTCTTTGTTGTTTGTCGATTTGTTGAGCAGAATTCAGCCCATTTTGAAGTCTTCTGATCACGGTGGAACGTACACAGAATATCCTAAATATGAAAAGAACCCACTAGAAAGTACAGTAAAATAAAACAAGATAAACCTACCTCAATATCTGCGTTTGCTCTTTCGACACTTCCTTGGCTCTGTGAGTGACAAGGAAGTCCGTGCACCATTTTACAATCAGACTAAAACTTGATGAACTCTTCAATCAACTTGTTTTGCTTCGTGGTGACCGTTTACTCCATCGGTCGCTTTCAGCTCTTCTTGGTTTCCATGTTTTTGATGCGATCCACCATCAAGTTGTAGATATCCTTTGTCGGAATTTAACCAGTTTTCTTCTCAGCTAGATAGTGCTGGAATTTCGCATCAAACATAGCTCTCGTCCCTGGAAATACACAATATACAATCTTTACCAAGTATACAATTCAAGAACCTAATTTAAAGAAAAAACCAAGTACCGTGTAATTAAAGAACCTATTAACAATAACAAAGCAATAAAGTATACCTGAATCTAATGTTGTGCCGAGCAACTCGCTTATCACTTTTTCCTCGCGCTCATCACTTTCTCCATGGTGTGTGCCTGACTCATTTGTTGTGTCGAGTTCGCACATCACAAGTTACCAAGCCAATCCTTTACCTGAAAAAAAAGCAACGAAAATATTTTAGAAAAAAAACACGTACCAAGAAGCAAACATAAGCAAAAGAAAAAATAATAACGGCATAATTTTAGTTTTTACCTAAATAAGTTTAGGTAAAAAATGCGTGAATTGAATATTAGATATATCGTCGTAGAAACAAAAATGTTAGTAAACAGCAAACATCGAGTATAAGGACAGTTCTTTTGAAAACGGAGTCTAAATCGGAAATAACATATAAAAACAAGAATGAAAACATTTTGTCATTTTAAAGCAATCAGACTGTTCCATTCGCTTTGTTCAACGAGTCTTCAAGTCCTCGAAATTTCTCCTCCAATTCTTGATCCATTTTTGCGAATTTCTCCCGATATGGATCAACAATTGACCAAAATTGAGTCATTAAATGAAATGGTTAACATTTCATGATTTTACCTTGATTCGGATTTCCTTTACTTTCGGGATTTGCTCGATCAATTCGGGGAGTTCACAGAGGAATTCTGAAAGAAAATTTTCTACATGGGTTTTTCTTGAGAAATTGATCGTGAGTAATTTTCATATTTAACTTTTCACACTGAATTATGTACGAATTTTCTCCTCTACCTCGTAGCCAATTATTTCTCATTTCCATTGATTTTGGATAAGAATAAGAATCGTTACAAATTGAACATTCCATCCAAAACCATTCAGGAGAAGAATCAGCTTTCTGATGCGTTAAATAAGATTCTGTGCAAATTGGGTGGTTACAAAACAGAATAACGGGTTTGCTTTCATCTTTCTCCATTGAGTCTTAATACAATTTTTGGATTAATCTCTATCTTCTCACATTTAACATCACATTTCGAACACTTGAGTGGAATGGTGATTGGCTGAAGATTTTACTGAACTTGGTTAATGAAAAATAGCTTCTTAACCTCTGAAAGAAGCCATCCATTTCCATTCGGAGATTCGATAATTGATGGATCGTTAAAAAGATCTGAAATGATTCGAATCAGGATTCGTCAACGGGAGATTATGTTACCACGGAAGAAGCTGCGGAATTTGTAAGGATAATAACAATGCAATTGAAAGTCACATTGATGTCTTCTTTCTTCTTTTTTCAACCGTTGCTCCTCTTTACAACATTCTCCACAAATCGCTTTTCCACATACTGATTCATATGGATATTTGGGATCATTACTGGATTTTGAATCTGAAAACCAGGATTTGACTCAAATACAAGAGAAAGTGATAATTAATATGACTGATCTCAGACACTAGAACAAATCATTTTTAGCAAAATTCAACAAGGAAGTTTTGAATCTTTCCAAAATCCCTTTTTCTTCTTGTAATTGATAAAACTCACAAGGAGATGCGCAAAGAGAACAGTTCAATGAGTGGAAAATCTTCAATTCCGAGCTCATCTTTCTAAAAATCGGCAAAAAAAGAAAAGAAATCGATTTGAAAAGAGGAAATGAGTGAAAATGGAGTCAAATTGGGTGATAAGACGTGATGGAAATGGAAAAGAAATTCAAAAATTCGGGAAAAAGTTTATGCTTTGCAAGAATTCTTATTTAAATTGCCAAAAAGATAATTTTCTTTTGCTCACATATTTATTTTGAAAGTTGCATCGAATTAAAGGATTAAATCAAGATTATTCTCAATCGAACTCCATTCATCCGTTCCATCAAAACCGATTGGCCTCAGAATTTTTGGCTTGTCAATGTCAATGCCTCAGAATCAAAGAAAATCAGCTTCATTTACTCTTTTTCACTTATTATTTCTAGAAAATAATGAAATCGCTTAGGGATCAAAGTTCAAAATGTGAATTTGAACTGAGTGCGGGTAATTGTACATCCCCACCCTGTACATCCTCACGCCGCCAATTGACCTAACCATTCTAGATTTATGATATTATTCCATTTACTGAATTTCGATTAGGTTGTTCAAAACAAAGTTCAAAATGTGGATTTGAACTGAGTGTGGGTAATTGTACATCCCCATGCCGCCAACTGACCTAATCATTTTTGATTTATAATATTATTCCATCTACCTGATGCATATGTTTATCTAATCTACGCAAAAATTCCCATTCAGAGTCACATCGATGCTTTTGCTGCACTTTCTCCAATAGTTTCTCCTTGTTCCAGCATTCCGCACAAACCGCTTGCCCGCACGCCAATTGCCGCGGGTATTTTGGATCTTTTTCTGAATTTGAATTATTAGGTTGGCAACTAAATAATGGCCCTCGCCGTTTTTTGATAAAATCTTTTAATCTTTGCGTTTAATCTACCCTCGCTTGTTGTTAATTGAATATTACTGAATTTCTGGTGCATTATTATACGTTTTTTACTTTCCTTGATTTGATACTTTTCAAATAATTTTGTTTAGAAATGGAAGATCTCAAATATCGAATGCGTGTCTGTCTCTGGTACGACTACAAACAAGACAAAACAGCTGCCGAATCCCACAGAGATTTATTGCGAGTTTTTGGTGATGAAGCTCTTTCCGAAACACAATGTAAGAGATGGTATCGACGGTTCAAGGAAGGGGATGAAAGTCTTGAAGATGAGCCTCGCCAAGGACGACCCGAACTTCTGCAGAACGATACTTTGGAAGCAGCTTTAAAGGAGGATCCAAGTCAAACATCACGCGAGCTAGGGGATCGATTGGGCTTTTCGCATACTGCAATCGAAAAGCGACTTCATGCATTGGGGAAAAGTAACCGCAGTGGAAAGTGGATTCCGCATGAACTGAGCGAAGAAAATAAGGCTTCTCGTGTTATCACAGCTGGAATACTACTAAAACTTGCGAAAAAGGGAAGCTTCTTGGATTCCATTGTCACTTCTGATGAAAAATGGATCTTTTATGATAATCGAACGCGAAAACGACAGTGGCTTAGCACAAACGAAGACCCAAAACCAACTCCGAAGCCGGATATTCACTCAAAGAAAACTCTCCTCTGTGTGTGGTGGAGTTCTCGTGGGTTGGTGCATTTCGAGGTTCTCAAAGGCGGCAAACGGTTAATTCAGAACTCTATTCGTCTCAACTACATCGTGTAGATCAAGCAATTCGCTCTCAAGGACTCGAACCCTCTTCAATTCATTTTCTCCATGATAACGCAAAACCACACATTGCAAAACTTACAATGGAGAAAACCGAGGAGTTGGGCTGGAATGTTCTTCCTCATGCGCCATACAGCCCGGATATGGGGCCTAGTGATTACCATCTTTTTCGATCGATGCAACACTTTCTAGCCGAGAAAAAGTTCAATGACCTTGACGAAGTCCGAATTTCAGTGCAGAAGTTCTTTGACGATCAACCAGAAGAATTTTTCTGGTGTCCAGTCCAAGAGAGGAATCCAGTTGCTCCGTCAAAAGTGAAAAGAAGTAATAAAGAATGACGGAGAATACCTTTTGGATTGATGTTGATATTTGTTCATCTTGTTAATAAATTTTTTGTTTTTACTGAAAAGGGCCATTATTTAGTTGCCAACCTGATAGAAGAGTATGAAGAATAGAATTGATGATATCAAAATAAAGAAAAAGCGTAATGGCTTCAATTTTTTTCAGCGAAACTATTAGGATTGTAATAGAAGTATGACCGATAAAACTTACACGGTGATTTGCAAAGCGAACAATTCAATGATTGAAAAATTTTCATTTCCAAGCTCATCTTTCAAAAATTTATGAATAAGCACTTGGAAAGGTTTTTTTGCAAAATCAATTCGAAAGCAAGCTGTTAATGGGCGTGTTAATGTCTGAAATAAGGTGGTGATTTGCTTTGCTAGAAATTTGCTTTGAAGAAAATCTGATCTTGGCATTGTGGGCTTACCAGTAAATTTGTTGG